CTGCTTGGTGTGAAAACCGACAGTGCTGCACTAGGGGGAGGCTGAGGAGTCTCTCACCTAGAAAAGTAGAAGGCATGCGGTGACCCACTGAACACGGGGTTGCGACCCACTTTTGGGTCACGACCCACCAGTTGAGAACCAAGGCATTAAGGTGAATCAATCTAATCAGTCATTAGCAGAGATACATTGTATTCAGTTGTTACCTTCTATACATCACATCTGCCGCTCGCCATTCGCCATCATCCCTTGTCGCAATCTGTCTTATTACTCTGGTGTCAGCGGTGTCCTGTCATATCATTGCTCTTATCTCCCCTCTGATTATACTTCAGGCTATTTTAATAATTATAGGAAGAAAAGCAGAAGTGGGAGCGGGAAGTGAGGTGCTACAATCGCCTCTCTACAGCCCTGAACACTTGTCGATTCTTTTCCAGGCTTGATGTCAAGGTGAAGTCAGGGTCCCAACGACCTCAGGCTGGTGTCCCTATAAATGGGAATGCTTGGCCTGACGTTCTTTGGGCCATTTACTAATCTAGAAGTTCTAAAGGAGGTTTGTGTAATGAGCTCTGACTCTGGACCCACATCCCAGGTTCTATATTACGTTGACCAAGGGGAAAAAATGACTTATGGTCTTAAAACATATACAACAAAGAAATAGTCCATCTACAACCATTGTCTTTATTACAAAGGTCTACAAGTCATGATGTCTACCGTATACTGATGTGGTTAAACCAAGAAATCTCCAAGACTCAACCCCATTTGATCCATCAAATGAGTAGACCAGGGTTGGCAACCTCAGCCTCTGGGCATCATGCCTCTGGGAGTCTTGCCTGTGGTGGTCAGAGTCTTGCAATGCCTCATGGGGGCTGTTTTTGGCAGATGGCCTTTTCCGGGTGGCCACCGTTCATGTTCTATGGCTCATGCTCCCATGTGCATGAAACATTATACCAGAGGTAGGCAACCTCTGCACTCCAGTTGTGGCGGAACTTCCTCAAAGACTCAACGCAATTTGATTCATAAAATATATAGACAAGGGGTAGGCAACCTTGGCCTCTGGCCATCATGCCTCTGGCTCTGAAAGTCATAACTGGGGCTACCAGAGTCTAGCAATGCCTCTTGGGACTTTTAGTTCCACAACAGCTGGAGTGCCGAGGTTGCCTGGAGGAGTCTCTAAGAGCCAATAATCCAAAGGAATTATTTCCCTCCCCAGCCCCACCCCAAAGTCAGCTATTTCCCTCCCCAGCCCCTTCCCTACTTAATATAAACCATTTGTCTCCTGCCATACTTCTACAAAAAGGCTCCTTTGAGTATCTTTTCCCTTTATTAGTCCATGTGAATTTGTATAGTTTTAGTTTTCTTGTTACTCATAGACACGGCCCTATTCTTCATAACTTTAGGTTGATATCTGACTGCCAGAGGTAGACAAAGCATGATATGCATGCAAATATATAGATTACAAGGTGTATTATTCTCTCTGATGGTACAATATTTGCATGTAACTGTAAATGAAATGCATACGTGCTTACAACAGTCTCCAACTCCTTTAGTTTCAAGAGCCCAAAGACATCTTGGGGTCTTCTAAAGCCCACCTCCGGGCAAACAAAAAATCTATCCTTGTGATGGGACTACTCCATCACTGCATGGGCTAAGTGCTTGTTTTTGTCTAGGGGTTGGAGAAAAGCAGATTTACTTACCTGATCCTCGCTTCCCCAGTGATCAGTGCTCACCTCTTCTCCCCCTCCACTCTGGCTGGTGGAACATCCTTCAGTGTCCTCAAGTCTAATGGAGGTTTATGGGCCTGTGTTGACGTGATGACGTCAGAGGTCCTTAGACCACCAGAGCCCAAGGGAGAAGAAGCTGCACGGACCAAAGCTGAGGGTGGGGGGAGGGAGTGGGGATCAGGTAAGAAATACGCAGCCGGCTAATCAAGCCACGTTAGGACCAAAGGACTTTTTAAGATCGCCCTAAATGCTACAGAGCCTGTCCATCCAGGCAGGCAGCAATCAAGCGTAGTCAAGGCAATCCGGGTCAAGGCAACGGGTGATCAATGAACAGTAGAACAGGAAGCAAGGGCACAAGCTGAAAGACCGTTCAGCACTAGTCAACTAGGGAGCTGGTTTAAATAGACCCATCAATCAGAGGGAGCTGTGTCCCTTCCTGTGTGTCATGTTAGCGCAACTTTGCGCGTCCCCTATGTTGCGTACGCCTGTGCATGTTTACGGATGTGTTACTGGCCGCAAACTACGTGGCATGCTCAGGGCCGGATTAACTGCTACGTGGCATGCTCAGGGCAGGATTAACTCTCTCTGCTGCCCCAAGGCCAGGTTACTCAATGCGCCCCCCCTACTCGCCAACCCCCCCCATGGAGAAATGGCAGACCTGTAGGCTGCATACAAGTGATCTCGGCCGCAACTGCATGTCCTGGGCATCTGAAGATAGGAATTCCACACCTCTGCTGCCTCTCTACTCCCGGGCTTGTGGGAAATCCGGCCCTGTGCATGCTACAGACACAAAAGATGGCTGATCTTCCAGCTGATAGACTCAGTCCAGACCCATTTATGAAGCTAGAAGTGTCACACTCTTAGATGCTTTGTTGCCTTCCGAGGCCCTATGAAACATATTCATTCAGACAGAGGCAGTAAGTTTGTCGGGGCAGCTAAAGAACTGAAGATTATTCCTAACATTGACACCAAGAAAGTGGAGAGGTATCTCAGTGATCAGGGCTGTACATGGACTCTTAACCCACCTCATTCCTCTCACATGGGAGGGGCCTGGGAAAGAATGATCGGCATAGCCCGCAAAATACTTGATTCTATCTTCTTACAAGTTGGAACTGGGAGACTCACTCATGAGAGCCTGACAACCTTCTTGGCAGAAGCCTCAGCCATCATCAATGCTAGACCCTTAGCTCCAGTACCAAATGACCCAGAGGACCCTCTTTTGCTTACTCCAGCAACACTCATCACTCAATGCTCCTGCTGGAGACTTCAACACTAAAGACTTGTATTTGCGTCAGTGGAGACAAGTACGAAGTCTCGCAAATACCTTCTGGGACAGGTGGAGGAAGCAGTACATTTCCACCTTATAACCACGCAGGGAATGGCAGGAGAACAAACCTAATTTAAAGGATGGTCACCTTATTCCTGTAAAGGACTATCAATCCCGAAAGAACATGTGGCCTCTAGGTCTCGTCACCAAAACTCTTCCATGTGAGGATGAGAGAGTCATGAAAGTTGAAGTTAAGGTTGTGGGAACGAAGAAACAAAGTCATCCCTTAGACCAGTTTCTGAACTGGTCTTGGTATTTTCTCCTAAGAATCAAAATAGTGGTATCCAGGGCTGGAACTACAGATCATGGAGCCCATAGAAAAATGTGATGGGGGCCCCCTGATGACCTCTCTTTGAGCTGTAAGAATGCCAAAATCTTAACATTTCTCTTTTGCATCCGAAGTCATCTTTACACTGTAGACTTTACAGTCAACTGCAACCACTCCAACCCTTAATGATATAGTACTGTATTATCTTCATGTGTTCTATGTTTAAGTTGCCTAAACAACCTAGTGGGGCCCCCTTCCACCTACAGGCCCCATACCAGCCATCTGGGCTGCTATGGCTATAGTTACGCCACTGGTGGTATCCATTGATACCAGACGGGGAGTGTGCTGCCCAAAAGGGAAATGATTTAGTTTAACTGCCTACAATAACAAAATTGGCCACAAGATGGCGCTGGAGAGAAATCACTTTGATTTACAATGATCTTAGATTGCCTTGCTTTTAAAAGAAGTTCCCAACAACCTCCAGCCCAAGAAGAAGGAAACAGGTGCACTCTAAGACCTCAGACTCTATCTTGGAACCAAGGAGAGAAGGTATCCAGTGCCATCCTGAGCACATGTTTGGAGGAAAAGCTTAAAGTGACATTAAACCCTCAGATTTTTTAACATAAACCAATACTGTAATGTGTACCTTACTGTAATCCATGGTTGTTTCCCTTCTCTTTGCCGCTCTTCCTTTTAAATCCTCATGTCTTCTCATGCTTGGGGAGAACTTCCCTTTTCAGCTCAGGGCCTCTTCCTCTAGTGCTGGCTCAGGTTACAAGCCTATACAAACCTACACACAGACACCGTGTATCGATTCCTGAGACAAGGCAGTCTGCTGCAAAACAGAAGTTCTGCAGAGCATGAGAACAGATACAGATTTAAAAGGAAGAGCAGCAAAGAGAAGGGAAACAACTATGGATTACAGTAAGGCACACATTACAGTATTGTTTTATGTTAAAAAATCTGAGGGTTTAATGTCACTTTAACTGCCCTTAAGGCAACATCGCTGTTTCCCCACCCTGTTTTGGTAATAAAGCTTCAAGATTTCATCCAGTCTGGCTTATTGCAGAATAGAAGGGTTTGGCTGCATGTGGAGCTATACAAGCCACAGGGTAACATGTAGCGGGGACAGAACAACAGGTCCTCTGTTTTTAGAAAATATAGAATTCTAGACAAAAATTCTGATTTATAACTTGTGCGTGCATGAATAAAAAAATTGCCCAGACTTGTAGTGGGTCAATAAGAGATGCAAAAGGTTAGAGGTCAGATACAATTCTTTGGTGTCTATGAACAATTCGCAGAGCAACTCGCCCTGCGAATCTGTGTTTTTATCTTCTATGCTCTATCTAGTGGCCATAACGTGGCATTACATCACATTCTTCCTGAAAATTAAATATACTCATAACGTTCTTTTTTATGTTTTCCACAAAGAACGAACGTTCACTCTATAAAATATAATAACAGTATACAGAACAGTATGAATTTATTGCGTTTCTGCACTTGGCTCAACTCCCAGCCGATCCCTTTTTCAAAATGGCGGACGCAGCTTCGCCAATCTCCCGCCCTATCTGCTCATAGTCCTAGCAACCGTATCCAGCCGACGCCTCCCTTCCCCTCCCAGTTCCACAACTCGATAAGTTCGTAGTTTTGATCGATCACCGGAAGCGTTGCTGTATAAACACACTGGAGGAGGGCGTGGCCTGTTCGCCCCTGCGTGACAGCTTCGGCGCCCCCGTCCCCGCCTTCTCCACACTCTCCGGCTGGCAGGAAGAAGCGATAATGGCTGCAGCTGACGGGGACGATTCTCTGTATCCTATCGCCGTCCTCATCGACGAGTTGCGGAATGAGGACGTGCAGGTAAGGGGGAGGAAGCGGAGGCGACGGGGGAGGGCAGCTGAAGGAAGAGCGCGGGACGCTAATAGTACCACGGCCGGCTGGGTACAGGCCCGAGGAGGAGGTGGGCCCCCCTCACAGTGTTTGTAAACAGAGGGGCCTTACCTAGTAGGCCTAAAGGGAAGGGGCCCCATGTAGTATACAGTACAGTGAACCCTCGCCCAGTAGGCCTGAGGATAAGGAGGGGCCCCCTGCATTGTGGGAAGCCCTCACCCACAGCCTAAAAGAGGAGGGGGCCACGGGGCCCTTAACCTTCAGCCCTGAAAAAGGAGGTTCTCTAGTAGTGCTTAATGTGAGGGCCCTCAAGGGGAGGGGCTCCTGCAATGTGGGGAATCTGCCCCCAAAGCTTATAGAAGAAGGGCCCTTAACCTTCTAGTCTGGAAAAAAAAGAGGTCCTCTTGTGGTGCCTAATATGGGGGCCCTTGCTATGCAGGCTTGGGGATCGGGAGGGGCCCCTGACAGTGTGCAATGTGGGGAACCCTCCTCCATAGCTTAGAGGGGGAGGGGGCCATGGGGCCCTTAACCTTCAAACCTGAAAAAAGAGGGGCACCTGGTAGTTCTCCTTATGAGAGGCCCTCACTCTGCAGGCCTGAGTGGCCCCTGACAGTATACTGTCTGGGAGACCCTCACCTTCAAGTTTTAGGAGATGGGGGGGCAGTCTCTGACAACACTCTGTTGCCCTCAACTGCAAAACCCCCAAAAAAGAGGGACCTCTGGCAGTGCTCAGTATGAGGGGCCATCACTTTGCAGGCCTGAGTAGGGGCCCCTGCCAGTATGCAGGGTGGGGGACCCTCATCTTCAAGTTTTAGGAGAGGGGGGTGTGGTCTCCTACAACACTCTGTATGGGGCCCTTAATCACCAAACCTAAAAGAGAGGGGCCTCTGGCAGTTCTCAATA